CCTTAGCAAAGCGCATCCCAGGCTGCATAGCCGCACTACCCTACCCAACCATACCACACATAAACATGACACTACCCCCGGGGTTTACACAGACGAGCCGGCGAAGCAAGAAGAGCGCCAGAAGAAAGGGCCCTAGCCGGCGGGGCCCAGCCAGGACAAAAGGAGGTCCCACAAAGCGCCTACACCGGCCGCATTTGCGGTCGGGGTAGACGACGGATGGGGCCCACCTACGAAGGCTGTCCAGGCCTACACGAGATGAGGCAGGATAAAGAGGGATAATCCCCCTCGATCCCAAATCATTGAGGCCAATTTCTAGCCATAGAATAATGGCGCGGCGCTTTATGGGCTAAATGAAATCCGAGTGAAATAATAAAAACTATATTATTCTTGCTTTCCGAGAATAGAAGAGGAAGAAGAATAATAACTGTCCTCATCCGATCCTTTAATTGAGGTTAAACAACCAACGAAAGTCACTGCACTGCTTTGTATTTAGTATTTACATTTCAAAGGAAATTATAATGACTGGTGTTCCAGAAACTTCATGTAGGCTTTGCCTTGAAAATATAACCGATAAAGGTTTTGAAGTGACAAACAACATTATCAGAGACATTCTAGACGTACTTTTGCTGAAATTGGTAAGTCCGTGAAAATTAATTACAGTCTATCTTGATTTATGGTTGGTTTATAAAAAAGTATTAGTCCTAACTTAGTCTTAGTCTTAGTATTAACCTTTACACTAATCTTAGTATTAGTCCTAAGAATAGGTACACGTTTATAAAAACAATGTGTGGTCCTAATTTTATTAAGATTAACCAATGAGCGATTCGACTACGCGCATGGCTAGTAATATCACAGCATAATACTTGTTTATTATTCTGTGATAGTTATTTTATTTGTTTTGTTGGTGAGTGAAAAGAAAAATATAACCTATTACTATGGTAATGGCGTATTGGCGACAACCATAGACAAAGACAGGAGGTCACTATGCTACGAAATGCAATACTTGTGCATGCGCACTTCTCAGATCTTAGTCTTAATCCTAGAAAAATTAAAAGATGCGAACTTTCAAGGTCATGTCTTAAGACCTCCTTACGACTAGGGATTTTTATAAACCGATACATTACATTCTGTACATTTAACTTTTTAGGACTAAGATTAAGGTTAAGACTAAGACTAAGTTAGGACTAATACTTTTTTATAAACCAACCATTACTCTCGTACGATTTACTCGTGGACACTTAACAGTGTCAACGAGTGCAAAGCTACTTTTACTAGTTAATTGTTATTTTCTCTCTAATTAAAGTTGCATATATTTCAGAAACTTGATAGCGAGGGCAAAGAGGTGATGTGTAATGTTTGCAGAAGAAAGTTAAATGAGGCGTTAGAATTTAAATCAATGTGTCTGAAGACGAATAACACAATTATTCCTTACGTGGATAGCGAAAAAATGTTACAGCTCGACTTAAGAGAAGTGTACATGCGGGAAAAGAAAAGTGAATTAGTTTGCGGTCAGAAAATATGTCGATTGTGTATGCACCCAGTAGAAAGTGACTTTACGTGCATACATGAGGAGGAACTTGCAGCTATTGAGAATTTGGCTCCGGAAATGGTATGAACGGTATTAAATACTTGCGTAATTTGTGATTTAACAAAACTATTTTGTAGAATATAAATATCGTCAAAGATCCCGTCATGTGTAAGCCATGCTTCGATTCTCTGTGTATCCACAACAATTTCCTTAAAGATTGCTTAGTGGCAGAGGAGAAAATTAAAAATATTTTTGATAGTTCCGCCACAGAAAGTCAAATAGATACGTCTCCACTCGATTTATTCGTTAAGACTGAAAACCTGGACGAGGAATTCGATATTAACGAGATGGAAATGTCGATTAAAACTGAATGTGTCGATATAAAATCGGAAGATGAGGGAAGAAGGTAAGAGAAGACCATTTTAACATTACTTTAAAAAAAAGTAACAGCATGTGGTTCTGACACTGTTGTGATTTAAATGATCAACTGTACAGGGCATTCTGAAAGTCCGTGGCAGTATGTAATGAAATTTTTTTCGAACTGTCAGTTTGCAAGGTACAGTTTGTTAGGTTAATTTTTTTATTTTGTTTTAAAATAATTTATTTAATTCAAGTTCTATTAGTCCCCAATTTGGCACAACCGCTAAAAAAATTTTTTCGATGCAAGAAACGATTCAAGAAGTGGCAAAAAATTACATATTTAGGGATTATTATTAATTTTGAGATTAATTTTTTTAATCTCAAGGGATAAACTTTGCATCTTTCATTAATTTTTTTAAATAGAAAATGTTTTTTTAATTGAAAAAACGAAAAAATTAATTTCTTTTCTTACAATATTCTCAATACTACACAATCGTCAAAAAAGTTATTTTTATTTGAACATAAGGGAAAGATTTTTGGGTTAGTTTTGAAAAAATTTATTATTCCTTTTCTTCTGATGTTTGACATTTTTTGACCAAGTAAAATATAGTTTTTTGCAAAACAAAAAACATTTTCAATTTGAAACAATCAATAAAAGATGCAAAATGAGAGAGAAATCGCAGCGGTTTGAACTGTTGAGTTTTTTGAGATCTGACGTTAAAAAACAACAGAAAATATTTTTGGTCTATTCGTCATTCGTAAAGTTTAGCAAAAATCCTTAAATGTACAATTTTTTACCGCTTTTTGAGTCAAGTTTGTTGCACCGAAAACATTTGTTTTTTTTATTTAAAGAATGATGAGAACGTCTTATAGAAGGTATACGAAGTGTTCATTAACCTCGCTTAAATTTTCTGTACTATCATTAGTTCCCGAATAATTAATTATCAAAGCCAAAAAGTTAATTTTTACTTTGAACAACGATAACGCGGTGACCAGTCATCGTAGAAAACTCTTGAAGAGCTCAAATTAAAGAGGATGAATCAAACTAAAACTGCTGACGTTTGGGATTACCAAAAAAAATTATTGAAACCCGTGGAGCATTTGAAAGGGAACAAAATTTTATTCACTGGATGATTTCTTAAAGGTGATCAACGATAAATCTTTTTGACTCAGATGCGGAGCGAGAGAGAGCTTGTCCTTTTATTCTCCTTTCTCTCTCGCATACCAGTCGTGCTTTCTCAGCACTGAAGGCTGCCTCTAGGAGTGTATGCTCGAAGAGTTTAACCTATAGAGTCTTACTAGCAGACGTACCACGCACAGTATAATATTTTTATATAAAATTATTCACTTTGAAATTAAGTGCGAGTCCATTAATCAGCTTAGCAGCTATTTATGCTACCCTTTGCCTGTACCAATTTATTATTAAAGCCTACCAGAACTAATAAGTTTAAAGTGTGATGTTTTTTTTTCGGTTATTATGCCGTGGTAAATGCACCTGGAAGCTGCCATTTACAGACACATTACGCTTCGCTAGCCTTAGCTAAGAACCTTTAATCTGCCCTTGTTGTTCTCGTACTGGGCTCTGTGAGGGCCGAGAATGACAAGAGAGGTCAAAATCGCTTCGCTAAGGATAAGAAAGTGCAGCGTAGGTTTGTAGCTGGCGACGACGTGGTACATACGCCAGGAAAAACGGTCATACTTTAAATAACGCCTCGTGAAGCTGACGAACTTATAATTGAATGTTTGTGAAAATGCTTAGAACTTACCATCTTGTTTAATTACAGAGCCACCATCATACCTCTCATTAACATCAAGGCACATATGTCCTTAATAAATTTTTATTAGAGTAATTTTTTGTAAAACGCAATATTTCGGCATGTGTCACCTATAATCCCTTAAAATTTTAAAAAATACGTATATGCAATTTTTTCAGTGACATGCCAGTGCAAAGCTCCGATATTGTACCATTCGAGGAGAGTGACCGTAAAGATCAAGAAGAGGATGGATATAAACATGAGAATGGATCAGCGAATAAATGTAATACGAAAACCAAGCGTCAGGTGAAACACAAAGTACGATTGTACAAGTGCGACCTTTGTGATTTTGAAACAAAGTTGAAGATCAGCTTTAATAGGCATAGTATAAAACACAAAGACTCGAACAAATGTGATGAGCGTGATTATAAAACCAAGTACAATGCATTGAAACATAAAGTCGCTACACGACTACCGATTTATAAATGCACACTTTGCAACTACAAATCAACAAAAAAGTTACTTTTTGTCAGTCATCAGTTGATTCATAAGGATCCCTCACAGGTCAAAATGTACAGGTGTACTGACTGTGATTACAGAAGTAATTATAGGAGTTCTATCAAACAGCATCAACTGAAACATAAAGATCCTTTGCAGGTTCAAATGTACAAGTGTAACGACTGCGATTATGAAACTAAATTCAGAAGTTATATCAGAAAGCACCAACTGAAACATAAAGATCCTTCGCAGGTTCAAATGTACAGCTGTAAGGACTGTGATTATAAAACTAAACGTAGGGGTCATATCGCACGGCACCAACTGACCCATAAAGATCCTTCGAAGGTTCTAATGCACAAGTGTAACGACTGTGATTATGAAACTAAATACAAGAGCAATATCAAAAGGCACCAACTGAAACATAAAGATCCCCTGCAGGTTCAAATGTACAAGTGTGACGACTGCAATTTTGAAACTAAATTTGGAAGTTATATCAAACAGCACCAACTGAACCATAAAGATTCTCCGCAGGTTCAAATGTACAAGTGTAACGACTGCAATTATGAAGCTAAATTCAGAAGTTATATGAAAAAGCACCAACTGAAACATAAGGATCCTCTGCAAGTTGAAATGTACAGGTGTAATGACTGCGATTATAAAACTATAAGCAAGGGTCACATCACACGGCACCTACTGAAACATAAAGATCCTTCACAGGTTCAAATGTACAGGTGTAGCGACTGCGATTATGAAACCAAGTACAAATCTGATATCAAAAAGCACCAAATGAAACATAAAGATCCTTTGCAAGTTCAAATGTACAGGTGTAACAACTGCAATTTTGAAACTAAATACAGCAATAATTTAAAGAACCACCAACTGCAACATAAAGATCCTTCAGAGGTTCAAATGTACAAGTGTAACGACTGCAATTATGAAACTAAATTAAAAAGTAGTATGACAATGCACCAACTGCAACATAAAGATCCTTTGCAAGTTCAAATGTACAGATGTAACAACTGCAATTTTGAAACTAAATACAGGAAGTATATCAAGCAGCACGAACTGATACATAAAAATCCTTCAGAGCTTCAAATGTACAAGTGCAACGACTGCGATTTCAAAACTAAATACAAGGAGTATATTAAACGGCATCAACTGACACATAAAAATCCTTCAGAGGTTCAAGTGTACAGGTGTAACGACTGCGATTTCGAAAGTAAATATAAAAGCGTTGTTAATAGGCACCAACTGAAACATAAAGATCCTTCAGATGTTCAAATGTAAAGGCGATTACGAAACTAAATACAAGAATTGTATTAAATATCACGCTATGAAGCTCAAAGTGTTTTCTTAAATGCAATTGTACTGGTATGTTTTGCTAACAACCAAACATAGGGAGTCTTTGAGGAGACCTCAGTTGACGCACAAGAAACGTTTCCAGGTGTGGATTACTACCCTTCGTGCACGATATAGTTACAAATGGATGCATGTAAGAGCTACAAATGTGAATATGAAAGCGATGGCAATATTCAGAACGAATTATAAATGTGTACATATGTATTTTAAATATCGATACAGTTTACATTGTAGATCCTTACCTTCCATTTAGACAACTATTTTCAAAGTATACATATATCTAAATAGAGAGATTTAAAAAAAAATTATGTACATAATTGTTTGTAAATTTCAAAAATAACTGGCTGGACTCAAATTACGTAACTTGGCCGCACTAGGGGTATAACTCAAAGGAAGTATTCAACAAATAACAATATATTAGTTTTCAAAAATCCATACAAACGAATCACATAAAAAGAAGACACTGGACCTGGAGGGTAGCTTAATAATTTACAAACAAAATCTTACCAAACTCCAACCATCATCAGGCAGGATGAGATCTGGGATACTTTTACAACTCGCTGCACGACAATCTGAAGGGAAATCTCGAGTCCCCCTATGTTTTGGAGCATGAAACCCTTGTACAGCCGTTTTTGCTGCGCATTATGACTATATGACTTGAGTCAACATGCTGACTTTATAATGTACTGATCTTCGTGTAACACCGTTCCCTATAAGAAAACTGTTATAATTCTAATTGTTCTAAAATACATATTTCGCTGTACGTTAAGTAAGTTTTGTTTGTCTTATTGAGAATGTTATGTTGTATTAGCTCGAGCGTGCCTGGAAAGGAAGTGAATCAACAAGGAACACGACGGGGAGTATATCCCGGACACCGACCAATGGGAAAGCGCGGCGCTAACAGCGAGCACGGGGCGGAGCCTACGTGTACCGCACCAGAAACACATAAAAGTTCGACGATCTCGAGTTTCAGTTCAGTCTTAATCTTACGTCCGCCGCTACAGTTACAGCTGCGACATTACAAACAGTAAAGTTTAAAGTCATTCTTCAGCCTTACTACAGTTCGGCCCAAACGTACGGGCAACAACCAATCCGAGTTAGTACATGTCAACACTAACTTGTGCAAATTATCAAACAATCCTAAATTCAGTGATAAATCCAAGTTAATTAGTTTCAAAATTAACACCGTTCAGCCAAGTGCAAAAAACTTAAGAAACGTCGTTTCCTAAAATTCCAGTCACGCCGACAAGAATTTCGTCAACGGTTAGATCAGTCGATTACCCGAAATTTTATTCCTGAAACTCTTCACGCCAATCATACTTACCCTAAACCTCCTAAAATTAGTGAAGTGTACAGTGCGAGCCTTCTTTGGATTAACATCACGGTACTAAACTACCACCGCAGATTTCGAGCCAACCCAGAAGCCAGGGAGCTGCCCAATAGACGTCAAAAGCTAAGTGAACCCCTTTCTGTGTCCCAAATCGTCCGAAAAGTCGCGTATTGTTATCTTAGCTTTCAGTCAAATCAAATCAACCACACTTACTATAACCTTAGTTCTCAGTTAAGTAAAATCAAATCAGTCATACTTACGCTCGCCCAAACCATTCAGACAGCATTCGAGTTTATACTTGTTATATGCGTTTTTGTGTACTTGCATTTCCAAATATTAGTCTCAGGCCGGTGCAAACTTTTAAGGAAATACGAGGCATAGTCAAAAGTATTTACTACAGGCTCATTTTATTTTAACAATCAAAATTACATGTATAACTTTTCTGCCAAAGGCAGATGGCGCCCGAACCAACCTTAAAAAAATGAAAACCGAATAACAAGAATAAAATAAAAAAAAATGAAAAAAGTGTAAGTGTTGCCATATTTCTGGCACTATTACTGAAGCTATCTGCACCATATGGAGAGCTCGATGACTTAATCTAAATCACGACGTACTGCACAGGGTGTCCATATAAACCTTCCCTTCCTTGAAATTCGAAAACCAAGAGATATACCTGATTTCTATTAGGAACTAAGTTTTACGGTGCCTTTATTTGTCTTTACTTCTGATTAGAAACGTCATCAGTCTTTATAGCTGTAGACTGTAAAGACTTCTGTAAATGATGTGAAAAAACAAATTGTGACAAATTTTTGATAAACTACTAGCTTCCGGGAGACTTGTATTTGAAAGTATTTAAAGAATAGTTATAACTTTCAAAAATTGAGGCCCTGGCAATGTATGTAAGTTGTTGTTCAATTCCAAGAAATATTTCATCAAAAGCAAGGCTTTCGGGGCACTTGTTTTGATTTAGGCGTGTTATTATTAAATCAGTATTGTAAAAATAATTGCCGGAATACCTTCATTTATTAACAGTTGTTACGACTACACACTTTAAATTAACTTAAACTGTTTGTGACAAAACGAAATTTCGCAACTCGCTAATGACGTCGTGCCAGAATCCTTTGTTTAAACGTCATGCGGTAATAGTAGTAAGAGTCTGAGCCGGATGATTTCTATTTGTTTCAAATAAAATTGAAAACTCCATCATTATTCGAATAATGCAACAGTAATTATATAAATAGCGAAGCCAAAAAGAATAAAAAATAAAATATTCAGATGTATAGTAAAACGTTTCAAAAATTTAAAATTCCGCGCGAATTTACTCTGTCGAAGAAGAAGAAGAGGAGAGCTGGGGTAATCTGATCAGTGTTCTTAGACTTATGGTTAGGTATACAGACATGACAGAAACCGTAACGGGGGTGGTGTTGCACTCATAGTAAAGAAGTGCATCGACCACTATCCGCTGCAGCGGCTCCAAACTCAAAACAC